GTACCTGTCCCACTGGTCAGGGGAGTGCTGCCGCCGGAAACCTGTCTCAGTGTCTTTTGACTGGTACATTTAATCCATTTACATTAAGTGCAATAGATATGAATAGGCCCAACTCAGAACCCACTTGAAAACACGCAAACCAACTCAGAACTGCTGGGAGAATACAAGTTTCTTATATAAAGGAAGACCTGTAGAAAAACAGCGGACTGTTTGGCTGTTTGAATATCAGGCAAATTGTTTGGCTTGGAGACATCAAGGAAAAGTCATGGAAGACCCCCTTCTAGGACTGAAACTCCAAGGAAACCCACAAGGAGCATAGTATGCTTGCTGGTGACCACCTGGGTCTATATGTGAGTGAAAGTGGGGGAAATGCAGCAATAAAGACATGGGCTGAGTTTGGCCATGTTCCATTGGCATCCATTGACCTTGAGATGAAAGAGAGAAGAGGAAGGGCTGGCTAGTCTGAAATTTAGGAAGATGTGTGAACTCCTGACCCCATGGGTACTGACTTAGCCCCCTGGGGGCTAGGGCTGAGAGTGATATAGCCAGCTGGTCTGAAGAGCAGGAAGGCATGTGTGAACTCCCAAACTTACAGCTTGTACCCATCTAACCTAGCTCAGATGGCTAGTTGACGAAAATTCGAACTGAGGAAGATAAAGATGTTTGATAGTGAGAACAAGTGCAAATTGCTACAGTTTGATGAAGTAGACTTTTGCCTATGAATTCAGTGACTCAAAATTCCAACCATAATAGAGGCATTCTTTTTTTATTTTTATTTTTTAAGAATAGTTTAATGGGAAAAAAATATAGTTTATGATCTGAGAACGAGACTAGAGATTTCCAAGAGAAACAATAGGAAACAAAAACTTCTGTAGGGAAAAAAGAATGTGTGTGGATATTAAGGAGAATAAGGAATTAATTAAACCTAAACTGGTAAAATTATATTTATTGATTTTATTTTAATACATTTATGCCCAGTTTATAAATATCTAGCTTCACAAAAAAGATACTTCCCAGTTTGTGGTCTATATAACTTTGACTCTGGGCAGCTGAGGAAATAAGCAAGAAGCCAGTTTCCACCTATCTTTACTATTCCAGTCTCTCATCCCCTTCTCCTGTGTATGTGAATAGATCTCACCGTATCTATCAATAAATCGAGACTACAGAATGAATGTTTTATGGTAAATGTTTTGGCAAAAACATCCCAGGTGACAATGTTTCCCAACGTAAAGAACCCCCTTGCATGCCCCCCAATAACATGTCTTGGAAGTTATACAAATATATGGATGGAAAGACATAAAGGATAAGCACTGTGTAAACAATAATTTGTGCCGAATTAGAAACAGAACAGGAATCCACGTGGGTCAGAGGTGTGGAGTTAACATGTCTTGCTGAGGCTCACGGTTCTCCTTAATGTAGCTGTAATGGTCTACCCTAGTTCAAGTGGAGGAGCATCTTCTTTGTTACCCAAACATGCCCAGGTAAAGCTACTTCTCTTTCTGATGGTGGCTGCTGAGTTCCAACTGTGTCATCTGGAGGTACCGCTGGACATTGGCGTCTTTTGGCTGCCTATCCGATGGCAGCCAGGAGGCAGTGTCAAACCTGGTCATAGTCCTGCAGATGGAAAAAAGGCCACCCCAGCCCGGTACAAGGCCTTGGCTTTGCCAGGCTATCGTTCCAGAACTTTCTGACTATACTCCTTTATACTTCATCGGCTCTGTCTGGAGAAGGTAGGCAGCTAGATTGTTGTAGCAGTCTGTCTGTGAGGTGTGCAGCATGTTTTGTTGTTCACGTGTGACAGCTGGGCCCTGAGGTCCTAGGTTAGGTACTGGGAAGGCAGCGGTAGCAGAGCTCAACAGTCCCTACTCACGGCATCTCGGTACTTCCCTTCCCGGTAGTGCTGTTTGCCCTCCTCATTGTACAGCTGAGCTTCCTGTCCTCCAGCCATGGCACCGAAGACAGATGTGGAAGAGTTATAGCCTTGGAAGCACAATGAGACAGTTCTACTGTATTCTGCCGTATAAGGTTGCTGTGAGTCCGGAAGGATTCTTCATGTCTAGGAACAACCTTATTTCCTCAGTGTACTGGAGTTGCCAGGGATGAGAAATTTTAGACATTGGCTATAAAAAATGGGGTGGGGAAAGGAGAGGCTACAAAGGCACAAAGTGGCTGATTCACAGCTGTCATGAATATACTCAGTGGTGAAAGGGGGTGGGGAATGATGGGAATAGGATTTTATGGCTCAATTGTGGATAATTGTTAGCAGGATTAATTGTGATAGTCACAACTGTAATTGTAGAAGATGTGTAACTAAAAGAAGCGAATAGGTAATCTCACCTCAGGAACAGATGATCCCAGGACCATCAAGAAGGAAGAGCATGAGTGGAACATGAGATCCCTGTCTAGAAAAGGCTCTATGCCTGTGGGCAGGAGGCTGGCTGGCAGAGTGTGCCCTTTGAACATATAAATGAATATATTTATTATTTATTTTGTAAGTGTACAGCAAATATTTTTGCTTTGTTCATTTGAGAAATATAAGGTGTATTTGGGGAACCACAGTGAGGAAGTGGGATAAATGTTGCAGGGAGAGGATTAAACCATTGAAATGAAACAAGGTGTGTGGCTTTCTGGATTTAGAGCTGATGATCTTGTCTGTGAGCCTTCACACAATTCACAACAAAAAGTTAAAAAATAAAATAGAAATGAACTGATTGCTGTCATTTTTCTGTCTGTTTTTTGTGGTGCTGCTGGATTCTGTCCCACATAATTTTCTATGCTGAGTTCATTTTATTTATGGGTTTTCTTGTCCTTTTCATTTCTGTTGTGTTAATGTTTTCTAAATCCTTATTCCATCTGGGTTTTGTTTCCATTTGCCCAGCTTTTCTACCCTTTCCTGTCTTCTGAATAGTTTTTCCTGTAGCACTTTCCTTTTTCCTTATTTTCCTCGACCTTTCTGTGGAACATTTGGAAGCACTTCATTATCATTCTCCTGAATTTTCCAGGTAATTTCAAAGCCTCTTCTCCTTGGTCATTTGAGCTACTCTGTTTTGTTTCTACAAGTGAGCAGATATTTTCTGTTGCTTTTTATGCATTGTGGTATTGTATTTGTATTAATGAGATGAACGTATGTTGGTATATTCGTAAGCTTCTATTGCCTCCTGGTGGGTGTGATCAGGAGATGGGCTACTCTGTTCACTGCTCTTACACTGAAGCTCACTTTAGTACTTTTAGCAGGTGTTAGGTGTAGACACTGTTTTGGTGTGCAGCAGCTGGTATTTATCGGCTCTTGCCCAATTGGTGAGTTTTTAGAGGGTGCATTTGGAGCCTGGCTGTACGGTCACAGTTGGAGCAAGGAGAGAAGGATAGAAGGAGGCCCAAAGAACAGAGTAAAAACGAAAGTCATAAAACCTCAGTGTGTGTAAGTATATATATATATATATATAGAGAGAGAGAGACAGAGAGAGAGAGAGAGAGAAATAAAATGGGTGTAATCCTCTCTTGCCTTCAAAGACGTCTGAGAAATTTCAGGATGTTCCCACCGTACCTCCCTAATCGAATGCCAGGTTTTCTTTTTTCCCCACTCCCCTCAAGTCCATGTTAACTGTTTCTCCTAATGAGACCCAGTCCACGGTTTGGGAGATTCCAGGCGCAGGTTCTTACTCTTGTCTTTTCCCCCTTCGATTCTGCGCCCACCAAGCCACCGTGCCCCAG